AATTCACACATACAACCAATACTCACACATGCAACAAAAACTCTCAAATGCTGAATCCTACTAATACACTGTTTGAGGGAAACATTAAGAACTAAACTGTTTCCTGGCCAGGGCATCATCTCATAACACTGTACCCCCCAGAAAAGATTGTGGATTCTATTCTAGTTAGAGCATGTACAGGAAGCAAGTGATCCATGTTCCTCTTACATCGTTGTTTCATTTCTCTTTCTCTCTCTTCCTCTTTCTCAAAAATCAATAAACATATCCTTGGCTGAAGATTTAAAAATAAAAAAAATAATTAAGGCACTGGATTTTGAAGAACATAGCATTAAATATAGAGCCATCCTCTAAAACAGTTGTCCTAATCATTTGAACTCAGTTGATGCCTGTCTTCTTTTCCTAAGAAGCTAATAGAATCAGTTGGTAAAACATGTATCTGAAGAAAAAAACAGCACAATAATGCCAGCAGCTTTATTTATAAAACTGAAAATGTGAAAATAAACAAAACCATAGACAAATCAAAGGATATATGGATAATCCAAATTACATATTTCTTAGCAACAAAAAAATTAACCATTTACATAAATGTCATTGGTGAATCTTAAACTATCTGTGTAGCATGAAGGATGCTAGTGTTTCTTAAAGATTATACACCTTACTAGGGGCCTGGTGCACGGAATTTGTGCACTGGGATGGGGGTGGGGGTCCCTCAGCCCAACCTGCCCCTACTCACATACTGGGAGCCCTCAGAGGATGTCCTACTGATGCTACCCACAGGCCTAAGCCCCAGTCTGGCCTCCCTTTGTGGGAGGCAAGCAGGCTGATCAGAGGAAGGCACCAGCCCCATCACCCTGCTGCTGCAGCCACTGCCGTCACCACAGCCACCAAGGTGTTTTCATCAAGACACACTCCAATTCCTTCAAGAAAAAAGATAACTTTTTTTTGTGTGGCATTTTCAAGATGTGTCTTTCATAGGATATGCATTTCTTTATTTATTTTTTATCCTCACCTGAGGATATGTTTCCATTGACTTTTAGAGAATGTGGAAGAGAAAGCGAAAGACAGAGAGAAACATTAAAGTGAGAGGAACAATTTGATTTGTTGCCTCCTGCATGAGCCCTGACCTGGGGCCTGGCCAGGGAGGAGCCTGCAACCTAGGTACATGCCCTTGATCAGAATCGAACCGGACCCTGCGGTCCGCAGACCAAGGCATTATCCACCGAGTCAAACCGGCTAGGGCAGGATATGACATTTCTTAGCCCTCCAGCAGCGGATCTTTGTTTTTTTCTCCAGGAAAACCCTAGATCACCTTTTTAGATTCTTATTACCCAAGTTACTAAGAATATTACCAGTGGCATACAGGAGGCTTAGCCAATGAGCAGTCAGAAAAGGTGTTTCCTATGTAGTTCACACCAATTGTGAGTTGGGCCCTGCTCAGGCCTCTAGCCTCTGGCCTTTGGCAGAAGCTTTGGGCCTGGGCAAGGCCCTCTAGCTCCCTGTGATGGCCGGCTCCACACCTGCCCAGGACTGCCCAGGCTGAAAGTCTCGACTGCAAGAGCGGACCCCCAGCTCCCTGCGATGGATCGAGGCTCCACTCCTGTCCCCTCGTTCTGATTGCAGGCTTGGCCCTTCCCAGGAGCCCCCTGGCTCAGGCCCTTCCCAGGCTGCTCTGGGCCCACACGGCCTTACCTCACAGTGACCTGGGTGCCAGGATGTTCCTGGGACACAGGCGCTGGGCACCTATGTATGCAAATTAATTGCAATATTTTTTTGGGTTAATTTGCATACTCACTGATTGCCTTATGGGTACAGTCAATTTAGATGTTTGTCCATTAGTAGGTACGATAATGCCTACAAATAATGAAAAATATGAACTAATCTATTTCAAAAGAAGTTATATCAATGCCAGCATGGAGGACCTGGGAAGCAGAAAGAGTATAAAAGGGTAGGAGGGCCCTAGCTAGTCTGGCTCAGTGTATTGATCGTCAACCTGCGGACTGAAAGGCACATGCAGAGCTTGATCCCCAATGGGGGCATGTAGGAGGCAGCCAATCAATGATTCTCTCTCATCATTGATATTTCTCTCTCTCTTCCCTCCCTTCCTATCTGGGAAAAAAAAAAAAAAATGTGTATATATATATATATATATATATATATATATATATTAAAACTAGAGGCCCTGTGCATGACATTCATGCACTTGGTGGGGCGGAGGGGTGTGCAGGGAAGGGTCCCTTCCCCAGCCTGCACCCTTTTGTAGTCTGGGAGCCCTCAGGGGATGTCTGACTGACTGTCCACGTCAGCCAGCTTCCGGCTGAGGGGCGCTCCCCCTGTGGGAGTGCACTGACCCCCAGGGGGCACTTCCTGCATTGAACGTCTGCCCCCTAGTGGTTAGTGTGCATCATAGTGATCTGTCATTCAGGCATTTGGTTGATTTGCATATTATCCTCTTATTATACAGAATAAAAGGGCATGAGGTAAATACAGGGTGTGGCAAAATTAGATTTAGGGTTGTTGGTACTGAAAATAATTAATAAATGATAACACAGGTATAAATGCCACCATATCCAGTGTGGTTCAGTTAATTGAGCATCATTCCATCCACTAAAATGTCACTGGTTCAATTTCAGGTCAGGGAACATGTGTTCCTGGATGCCCAGTTGTAGGCTTACAGGAGTTGGAAGATTGATGTTATGTTTCTCTCCTCCCTTCTTCCCCAGAAATTAATAAAAATATCATTTAAAATATATAACATAGCTATTTAAGAAAAAAGAATAAACTCTGTGTTTTGTATACTCACAACTGTAAGCCTACTTTTTTCCCACCAAGGGTATATGTGACAGAGAAACTTATTTTACCTGTGAACGTTTCAGAGCTTCATCCAAATGTTCAAACTCACCAAATAGTACACATTAGGAAAATACATTTCATTGTTTGCCAGTTATACATATATCTAAGTAAAGCCTTAAAAAGTGGATCCAGCCTAACCGGTTTGGCTCAGTGGACTGAATGGTTGTGGGCACATCCTCAGTGTCGGGGCGTGCAGTAGGCAGCTGATCAATGTTTCTCTCTCATCGATGTTCAAATTCTCTATCCCTCTCCATTCCTCTCTGTAAAAAATTATAAAATATATTTTTAAAAAGTGGATCCAAATAAAACCTAGGAATCCCTCTGTTGTTAGAAAATTAAGTTGAGCAGAGAGAAGATACCTGAGCTCTGGACCCCCATGTACGCCACAATGAGTGGGCGTCAAAAGCATAGGTTAGAGGGGCAAGCTGGCCATGAAGGGAGTGTGAGTGGTTTGATACTGTTCTTCTCAGGAAATAGCCTGTAGACCCTCAGGTTGTTCCTCTAAGACACCGAAAACATGGCATCACACGTCACCCTCTTGACCCCAACCCCAAGGTGCCGAGGCCATCGCTTTTCACGATCTGCTGCACGGAGTTCTTTGAAGGACCCTTCTCTCACACAGCTTCCTTCCCAGAGGCACAGCTTCAAACGCAATACAAATCTGCTGTGGCGTGGATAAATTACTTCCTAATCACCTTCTTTTGCAAAATTATAGTTCGCCACCTCCATAATCTACTTCTCTCTTACCCTTCTCCCTTCTCCATGCCTGTGGAGATTGACAAGCCTGGGTAACACTGATGAATGCTAGCTACCACATTCCCATCAACCAGTGTGTGGCTCCCCACAACAAAAGGCAGGTGGTTAGTTAAATGGCACCTACACACATTAAGAACAACAATCAGATCTCAGGTACCAGAGCCCACCTCCTGTTATGTTGCACTTGAAGTCCCTTCACTAGTGAACATCCTCACTTAACCTTCACTCAAGTCCCAGCCCCGATGGCCCTCTGCACCATGCCCAGTGAATTTCACAGATGACCACTCAAACCTCTAAGCTAATCCACAACACCGACTGCAACTCACCTCAGCCAGGCTACACCGAGGGTCACAACTATTATATATCCTGGTGAGAGTTTAGAAAAGCTTATATGAAACATCGATGAGAGAGAAACATCGACCAGCTGCCTCCTGCACACCCCCTCCAGGGGATGTGCCCACAACCAATGTATATGCCCTTGATCGGAATTGAACACTGGACCTTTCAGTCCGCAGGCCGACGCTCTATCCACTGAGCCAAACCGGTTTCGGCCAATCCTTGTTTCTTGCTCATTCCTGTTTCTCTCCCTCTCCCTTCATTTCTACATCTAAAATCAATAAAAATATGTATGTATTTCAAAAACGTACCTGCAGGTTCCTGATTCAGCTCACTCTTTACTGAGCCTTTGCACATTCTGGAACCTGAGTCTGGAGGACCTCGCAGTCACTACACTGGTTGTCAGAAACAAGGTTCACATCATGAAGTCCTAGTTGTGATCTTAGGCGTCTGGGCTCAGTATTTGTTTAAAGTCCCCAGGTCCAGGGCTACAGGAGCGGCTGATGACAGTCCCAGGACTCTACAACCTCAGAGGCCACAAGTGTGTGAGGCCCTGAAATAAGTTCCACAAACACGTAAACCTAATTGATTCTGCATCTGCAGGATTTTGTGGGGGAAAATGATGGTCTGTTGGGTGTCTGACATGCAGCAGGCGCTATGGCTCAGGCTGCTCAGTGCCCTCCAGGTGCCTGTATGATCTCAGGGCTCAGTCCTCAGTACTCTTCCAGTTCCCCTATCATTTACAGGACTGCCCCTTCCTGTCCACGGCCGCTGTCCTGTCTTCTAGTCTGTTCTTCCTCTGAGCAATGTTAGGAAAAGTTAGAACTCTGCCTCAGAAAATGGCCCTCTTTTTTCACAACCATCCATGGCCCCAGCCTTCTGAGAGTGAAAGTAAAACTCCTCGTGCAAAACCACAGCTCAGCTCTTAGCTGCCTTCACACCCACAACAGGCCCGGTTTCCCAGTCCTCCCCGCTCAGTGTCACCAGCGCCTCCTCACAGGTGGCTCTGCCGCCGTCCACCCTCCTCCCCATCACCCCGGGCCCCCGGAGGGACTCACCGTCCTGAGCGGGCCCGGGCGGGCAGGAGGGCCCCGGGGGTCAGGGCGGGAACGGGTCCCGGGGGGTCAGAGCGGGACCGAGCGGCGGGACCCGGCGGCCGCTCCGCGGGGTCAGGGCGGGACCCGGGAGGCCGCTCCCCAGGCCGGAGGGCCCCGGGGGTCAGGCTGCGGGGACCGGGGAGGCCGCTCCGCGGGCAGGAGGGCCCCGGGGGTCAGGGCGGGACCAGGCGGCGGGAGGCCGCTCCGCGGGCAGGAGGGCCCCGGGGGTCAGGGCGGGACCCGGGGGTCAGGGCGGGACCCGGGAGGCCGCTCCCCAGGCCGGAGGGCCCCGGGGGTCAGGCTGCGGGGCCGGGGAGGCCGCTCCGCGGGCAGGAGGGCCCCGGGGGTCAGGGCGGGACGGGGAGGCCGCTCCGCGGGCCGGAGGGCCCCGGGGGTCAGGCTGCGGGGACCGGGCGGCGGGGCCGGGGAGGCCGCTCCGCGGGCCGGAGGGCCCGGGGGTCAGGCCGCGGGGACGCTGTGAGCAGAGGAGCCGGGGGGCGCGGGACGCCGATCTCCTCGGGCTGTGGGGGCTCCCGGCGCCTCGGACACGCCCTGCCCGGCAGGCAGCGGCGCCCGGGCCTCCTCCGGCTCCGACCGGCGCCCTGAAGCCGGGACTCTGTGAACAAAGCCCTGAGGCTAAAACGACCGCTGTGAGGAGGAAGGCGCAAGTCCCGCCCTACCCGGATGCGCACACAGCATAATTCCCTTTGGCTCCGCCCACGCAAGTGCTGTGCCTTCTGGGTAATGTAGTTTTCTCAACCGCACACAGGAATACTAGCATCCCAGCCAATGACTTAGGTGCCAGGTCGTCATACTGCGGCTCTCGAGCCACATGTGGCTCTTTGGCCCCTTGAGTGTGGCTTTTCCACAAAATACCACGGCCTGGGCGAGTCTATTTCGAAGAAGTGGAGTTAGAAGAAGTTTAAGTTTAAAAAATGTGGCTTTAAAGAAATTTCAATCATTATACTGTTGGTATTTGGCTCTGTGGACTAATGAGTTTGCAGACCACTGACAGGTGAATACAGGGATTGTGGCCCATCAAGGGATGCCTGGGGAGGGACTAGATGGAACCAGAGGCCTGGCTAACTGGAGCTGACAAATCTCTGAGGGGAAGAAGGTGGAGAGGACTGTAAGAGATCCACCAAAGAATATACAGTACACAGAGGGGGAAATGGGAAACAATGCTATCAACAATAAAAAATATATAAATTTTCATAAATTTTAAAGTAATGTAGCCCAGCTGGTGTAGCTTAGTGTTTGAGCCTTGACCTATGAACCAGGAGGTCATGGTCCTTTTCATTTCATTCTTATTTAAAAAAAATATTGTTTAAATTATTACATATAGTATTACATATAACTCCTTTTCCCCATAACCCCTGCTATGCCAAGAATATATTACAAAGATTAAGTGATGAAACAAGTAATGCATATGCACAGGGCCTTTCTGAGCCCTCCTATTTTTAATAGCCAAGGACTGACTGGAATAACCCCAGTGGCTTTGGGGACGGGAGTCTCCTGAGAGAATGTGGGTAGATCTGAAAGTACAGCAGTTAAAATCCATTACGGGTTGCATGAACCTCCTCTCAGCTGTCTTCAAGTATTTCTGGGTAGAGAAGTGGTGCAGACATAAAGATATAAATTAGAGATATAAGTTAGAGGCAATTTCATAGCTCAGTCATTTAATTAATGAGAAACTATTAAGCATCTACTCTTATAAAAACAATGAAAATAAATAATGAAGAAAATAATTCATTTCTCACGGATGGCATTGGGAGAAAGCAGACAATAAACAAATACTTAACAGGCCAAGTGTGAACAAAAAAGTGACCACACATCGCTTCTCGGCCTTTTGGCTAAGATCAAGTGTAAAAAAGTGACCACATACTAAACCTGACAAGCCCAGGGGAGGTGCCTGGCAGCCCTTACAAACTCAGAGACCTAACGTCACCACAGTGTTATCAGTGGAAGTGGGTTATCCACTGGGTGTTTGGTGTTGGGTCCTTACGATATCTGGAGAAAAAGAAATGTCTGAGACTCACACAGGAGGAGGAGTGAGTGACATCCCTGGGTTTGCAAAGTCCCGTTCCCCTTAATCCAGCTGGGAAATGTGCAGCTGGGGATTCAGCAGAGCCTGAAGCAGAACCAGTGTCCAGAGTTTTCATGGTGGAGCTGGGTCCTGCATAACATTAGGCTGGCGCAGTCCATTAGTCGATCGTGTGTGGGGTCCACACGGCCTTGGGCTATGTGGGCAAAAGCAAGGAGCATGGGAGTCCCGAGGGCCAGGAGCATGGGCCCAGCAAGAGAGAGAGAACTCCTTTGTTTAGGAGGTAAGTGTCTCAAATCCCCTCACACTTGCAGTAGCCACACCTATTATAACCAGTGACCTGTTCCCAGGTGTTAGTGACAGTCAAGTACCTTCCCTGTTTCACGGAGACTTGACTGGGCCTTCATCTCCTCTTCCCCTGTCTAGTCCCTTCCCCTGCCACCTGCGGGGAATAGCCCTGGGGAGTGTGAAACTGCCGTTTCCTGGCAGAGCTGTACACAAGACATGCCTATACCCTGTGGCCTTCCCTTTGCTCTTCTGTTGGGAGCCGAGTCCCCTACCGATCTGGGAATTGGGGGATGGAGCAAGGGTGGGTAGCCCTGCCTGCTCTCCCCCACATTTCGGGTCACTTGGGGACGTGGCAAGCAACCGTGTCCTTCGTTCCGCTGTGCGTGCGAGAATTGGAATCTGCAAACATGTCCTTGAATTAACATAGCAGAGCACAGCTGGATGAACCTTTCCGGCCAGATATCTTCCTGCGGAGGTCTTAGGGAACTGGCATGTAGCATCATGTCCTTGGAGAAAGCCATTTGGAGGAACGCCCAGCTTTAGTGTATAGGAGAGATTGCGCCCTTAATAAACTTGCTGCAGCAGTGCCATCGAGCATTCCAGCCCTCCTGAAGCCCCGCTGTTCCTATCTTTCTTTTTCTCAGCCTCCTAGCCATCCCTTCAGGACCTGTTTTACTGCTGGTTCCGGTACTCCTCTCCAGTATTTGCACCTGGGTTTGTTTCGACGGTATCACTGATGCAAAAAAGCAGCAGACCATTTGATGGATGAGAACAGAAAACCCCAAAACCAAAAACACAACCTAAGAATTTAATGCACAGTAAAGTGACTTTATTTTATTAAAAAAATATATACTTATTGATATTTTTTACAAAGAGGAATGGAGAGAGATAGAGAGTTAGAAACGTCGATGAGAGAGAAACATCGACCAGCTGCCTCCTGCACACCCGCTACCGGGATGTGCCCGCAACCAATGCACATGCCCCTGACCGCAATTGAACCTGGGACCCTTGGTAGACCGACGCTCTACCACTGGGCCAAACCGGTTTCGGCTAAAGTGACATTTTAAACTAGGCGAGAAAAGGTGTTTTGTGACAGATGAATAGCCCCTTTTTAACAAAAAGTTCTTAGAAGTTAATACCATGCTCCAGAATAAAGCTTCGATTGATTAAACATTCATTTGGGGGAAATAAAATGTAAGTGTAAGAGGTGGGCCAAGGGGAGATTAAGAGGCACGTGGAAAGAGTTTTTTTTTTAATTTTTATTTTTTGTTTTTTTAAAAAATATATTTTATTGATTTTGTACAGAGAGGAAGGGAGAGAGATAGAGAGCTAGAAACATCGATAAGAGAGAGTCATCAATCAGCTGCCTCTTGCACACCCCCTACTGGGGATATGCCCGCAACCAAGGTACATGACCTTGACCGGAATCGAACCCAGGTCCCTTCAGTCCCCAAGCCGCCACTCTATCCATTGAGCCAAATCAGTCTCGGCAAGAGATTTTATTTAATCTGGAGAACAGGCACTGGTTTCCCACAATTTGCACTTGCAGACACATATTGCCACAGTATGAAGCCATGAAAACATCCATCTGTCCTTGCATCAGGCACATCCCCTGAAGCTTGGCTGGGGTGCAGAGGGATGAAGAAGAAAGTAAACAGTCACAAGGAGATTTGGAGATGTTTTGAATGGGAGTTTTCTGGAGCACCAGGCCGTGAGCACACCACCCCAGCCCTGGTCTTGGGCAAAGATTGCTTTTCACCGGGGTGAGTAACCTTCACAAGTGTCTGGAAACACTTGGCCAGCTCCCAGGGATGTTTAAACAAAACCCGCCCCTGCCCACAGGCAGTTCCTGAGATTTGAGAGGCTTGGGCCTCACACATGGGCTCTTGCTGCTCTTGACTGCAAGGCTCTGTGCACATGGGCAGTGATGTCAGAGACTGTTGCTAGGTTACTATGATTGTGAGCTGGGAGATGCTAGACTTCCAAACTGCCAAACTGCCCTGCTTGAATGCAGTGGTGTGAGGTGGTTGGCTAGAGAGCTAGTTTTGGGCTCAGGAGGCACAAAAATGGGAAGGGAAGGTAGGCTTCACTGAAGCCTAGACTCTTCTCTATCATGAAGAAGGTGTTTTCTTTTTTGGAGAATGCCAGAGTGCCATTCCAGGACTCCCCTACCAGCGGGGCCACGGACTGCCCCACCAGCGGGACCAAGGACTGCCTCACAAGCGGGGCCAAGGACTCCCCTACCAGCGGGATGATGGCCACTCCTGCCAGCGGGATGATGGTCACTCCTGCCAGCGGGGCCAAGTTCAGCTTTACCAGAGGGGCCAAGGTCGGTCCTCTCGGCGGGGCCAAGGTCGGCTTTACCAGAGTGGCCAAGGTCTGCCCTAGCAGTGGGGACAAGGACACCCCTACCAGCAGCTTAATGATCACTCCTCTCAGTGGGGGCAGGGACAGAACTGCCAGAGAGGGGTACAGTATCCGGAAACGCAAAAGGCCCTGCATTCTAGACGAAAATCTGAATGAGCTCCACAGAGCTGCCAGAGATAACAACCAGTGGAGAATGAAAGTACTCCTCCTTTTAGGGAAAAGTGACGTGAATGAAAGGGATAAGATTAGCAGGTAATAGGGGCTGCAAGGCTGGGGGCCCCGGGGTCCACTGAGAGGAGGTGGGTGGGCTTGGGAGAGGCGTACCCTTGCTTGGGCTCAGCAGCTGGAGACCAGCCCTCCTGTCAGCCAGGGCACTGGGCTGACTTCCCTCCTGGGGCCCTGCAGCACTTCCCTGGTGGACATCTGACCTGGGGTCTAGCGCTCAGACCAAGTTTGTAAGTAGCAGAAACAAAAACATAAAGACCCACTCATAAGTCCTCTTACAGAACACTTTACTGGCAACTTTTCAGTGATTCAATTGCATATTAAAATTGAAATGAAATTGAACACATGCAACACTTTATATTTGATGTACACATTTTTATACCATAATGTTGCATACTATAGAAAAGTGAATAATGAGAGAGATAATTCCCATAATGGATCAACTTCTGGGCGAAAAGTTCTTCAGATAAAACCCAATAACCACTTTATATTAATGTATGCCTATGTTCTTTATTAAAAATATTTTATTGATTTCAGAGAGGAAGGGAGAGAGATAGAGCATCAATGTTGAGAATCATTCATTGGCTGCCTCCTGCATGCCTTACACTGGGGATTGAGCCCTGTCCTGAATCAAACTGTGACCTCTTGGTTCATAGGTCGATTCTCACCTACCGAGCTGCATCAGGGCTCACCTATGTTCTTTATTAAGGGACCTCAGAAGGAATTTGAAGTGGGAAGATGGC